CGGGTGCTGGGCGGCTCGGGCGCAGGGCGGCTCGGCTCCCGGGCGGCTCGGCGGCAGGGCAGCTCGGGGGCAGGGCGGCTCGGCTCCCGGGCGGCTCGGCGACAGGGCGGCTCGGGTGCAGGGCGGCTCGACTCCCGGGCGGCTCGGCTGCAGCGCGGCTCGGCTCCCGGTAGTAGGTGGGTGGCGGGGCCGCGCGAGAAGACGGCCGGGGCCGCTACGGAAGTAGGCGGCGGGGCCGCGCAAGCAGGCAGCCGGGGCCGCGGCAGGAGCGGGCGGTGGGGCCGCGGTCGAACGGGCGGCTGGGGCCGCGGTCGTAGCAAGCGGCCGGGGCCGCGATCGTAGTGGGCGGCGGCCGCGGCGTAGCGGGCGGCAGGGCCGCGTCGAGCAGGCGGCTGGGGGGCCGCGTCGAGCAGGCGGCAGGGGGGCCGCGTCGAGGAGGCGGCTGGGGCCGCGATCGTAGCGGGCGGCTGGGGCCGCGACTTAGCGGGCGGCTGGGCCGCGTGTGGGAGGGAGGCGACACGGAGGGTCGCTCGATAGCGGAAAAAAAAAAGTTGAGCGCGCCTCGGGGCGCGCTTCGGTGGGCCCTAGGCAGAGTTCCACAGGGAACCCGCTCTATACCATGTGAAATGAGTTAGCAGGAATGAAATGACTAAGGAAAGATTGGGTACAAATACAACCCTAGAAACCCTGTACCCCATATGTGCTACCCCACTATAGCCTACAGCAACTATGTCATATAAATCTGACAGGGGCGGCAGAAACTTGATTCTCCAACAAATATAACCCCAACCTAACCTCGGGCCGCACTGTGGAAAATAGAGCGAGAATGAATGAACTATGAGTGAAGTGAGTACAAATAGCAAAACCCTAATTGGGTTGTACCCCCTATGGTATACCCACCTGTAGCCTACACAACAGCATAAGCTACATATATGTTCTGACACACCCCCATAGGCAAAGTGGGGGAGAACAAGGGGTCACAAGACCAGTCAAGCAAAGCAAAGCAAAGCTCAGGGTGGATCACAAAGTCACCACACAGTCCGAGCACAAGTACAAGGCCACAAGGCCAGTTCACATGCAGGAGTACACACATATATATATATATAAAGCTAGACAAGCAAGAGCACGTATATATATGTGACAGTACAAGTAAAGTCAAGAGGAGAGCAAGTGAGGCAAGACAGGCACAAGACCCAGCTGGGTGCAGAAGCGCTGATGGTCACAAGGCGCGAGTGCCTTGGTGAACACATCAGCAGTGTTGGCCTCAGAGGCCACGTACGCAAGCCGCAACTGTCCACGCTGCTGTAGCTCACGAGCAAGGAAGTAGCGAAGAGCAATGTGCTTCGTTCTATGCTCCAGACGCTGCTCTCGACACAAGGCCAGCATGGCCTTGTTGTCTACGTACAGCACTGGAGGAGAACAAGGCGGCTCTCCAAGGTCAGTCAGCAGGTAGGTGAGCCAGCAAAGCTCCTGTGCAGCCATGGCCCCTGCGTAGATCTCAGCCTCACAACTCGAGCTGAGAATCGAAGACGAGCGAGTAGCCCGCCACGAGACAGAGCCGGAGCCAAGGCTGAAGGTGTAACCCTGTGACGACCGCTGCGTAGCCTGGTCGTCAGCCCAAGAAGCGTCCGCGTGACCTGTAAGTACCACTGGACTCCGCCCTCCAAGCACTAGCCCCATGCCCGACGTACTGCACAGGTAGCGCAATACCCTCTTCGCTGCAGCCATGTGCTCTGGTCGGTGTCTCCCAGGAGCAACATAGCGTGCAAGAATGCTCAGAGGGTATGCAAGGTCAGGTCGTGTGCAGGTCATCAGGTACATGAGGCAGCCAACAAGCTCTGGGTACGGGCCACTCGACTCTACGGACTCATCCGAAGGCAGAGCTGAGAGCGAGTGGCGAGTAGACAGAGGAGTGGCCTGAGGCGAGGAGTACGTGAAGCCGAAGCGCTGAAGGACCTGCTGCACCATGTGTGACTGAGTCAAGGTAATGGTGCGGCGTGCTCTGTCCCGAGTGATCTGCAAGCCAAGGTAGCTGCGCAGTTCACCCAGGTCTGTGCACGTGTGTCTCTTCAGCAGCTCAGACTTCACGTAGGCGAGTCCAGCAGTGTCCGCTGTGGCAAAGACCAAGTCGTCGACGTACACGAGGATGTAGAACGGCGGCAGTGAAGTGTTGGTGCGCAGAAACAGCAACGGGTCAGCAGTAGAAGGAGCAAACCCAAGGGCCGCAAGTGTAGTCCTCAGTGTGTCGTGCCACTCACGTGGTGCCTGGCGGAGACCGTAGACTGGCTGTCGGAGGCTCCACTGGGTGCCAGAAGGAAAGTCCCAGTGAAGCCAGGTGGACGGCGCAGCCTGATCTCCTCGTGCAGGCTCCCCTGCAAGAACGCAGTACTGAAGTCGAGAGAGTGAAGCTCGTAGTCGCGCTGAGCGGCTATGTGCAGCAGCACCCGAAGAGTGGTCATCTTCGGGGTGGGAGAGAAGGTTTGAAAGTAGTCAACTCCCTGCCGCTGACTGAAGCCACGAGCGACGTACCGCGCCTTGAAGACAGGTGGAGAGCCTGGCGGCCGCTTCACCCTGAAGATCCACATGCCACTGACGATGTTCGCCCCAGGAGGGGGAACCGCGTCAACGTAGGTGCCTGTGGACTTCCAGGAAGCCATCTCTGCATCCATAGCTGCCTGCCACTGAGAGGAGTAGGGACCCTCTACGGCCTCCGCGTAAGAGCGCGGAGTCGGGATGTCTAGTGCATCCGGGTCTCCCTCAGGAGCAAGCAGTACAGACGCGAGATGAGGTGAAGCAGCAGCCCAGACACGGAACATTGGCGAATAGTAGGGCTTTGTTTGTTGAATCGCTAAAAATGTCGAGATTGACCAATCGCAAAGCACGATTCTTGTGGTCGCGTCGCCTTGCAGACATCGACCAATCTGTTGCGTCGAAATCCAATAAATGAAATTGGACCCAATTGTAGCTTAACAACACATGCACAACAATTAAAAAACGTTATATATTCCAACACGTGGCCAACATAAAAAAATATGTATAGTTTGGCGCAATCATTACAAATGTATTCTTAGTTAACAATCTACCCTCTTTAAAGTATATATAACACTTTGTAACATTAAAATATAAGTACTACGAGTGGAGAAAATTGTAAACTATTAACAATTTTGTTTGCACTACCATTGCACCAATGCAGTTTTTACAGTTAGTGCAGGTTTTACCGATTTCACTTTGTGATATATATATATATATATTTTAAAGAGTTCGTCTTTCTTCTCGGGCGACTTCTTATACCGAAAGCGCTGGTGTAAAATCCGATTTCTCACCATCACATCCGCGCAATTCCTTGGCAATCTTCGCGACACTACATGCGAACTGTGAGCAACACCCGTCGACCTGATCACGAAACAGACAAAATTGCACACCCTATCAGATGCTGGGGAACATGAAACAGGCAACAATCGTGCAATACACTTCCCTGTGTCCAGGCACTTGGTCGAAAATGGGAAACACTGCCAACTAAGCAGGCAGTACATTCGCGCCACCTGTCATGCTCAGGTGGTCTGTAATTTGCCAGCTGCACCGAAAACTGCACAACTTCCATTAGAAAATCAGCTGAGCAGAAGAACTCTCAACAACATAACCCACGTCATCAACTATCTGCTCTAACTCTTTCCCCATATCTCGTAAACCCCCACTACCGTAACTAAACAACCCTAAACCAATCGAAACCTCATCCTTACCACGTTGTGTCACAAAGCTTAGCCATTTAGCTTGCCCTTCACAAGCAGCGGTAGCACAGGCTATGCTGTCCCAAGAGGGGATGGTAGAACAGCAGGCAGTAAAGGTTCAGCTACATGAGGGTAATAATTCTCCAACTACCCTTACAAGGAGCCAGTCCCCCAACTCCTCCTGCTCCGCAATGCCTGTGGATGTCCAGAGCAGCGTTGTCGCAAGCCGAGCAGCAGATGTGGATGCAGCGATGCCTGTGGGTCTAGAGGAGGAAAACGTATCGATAGTGGCAAAAGCTGCAAGAACAGGAGCAGCGGAGGAAGATTCAGTAGAAGCAGTAGCGATGGAGGTAGAACGAACAGGAGCAGCAAGGGAAGCAGCAATTGATGTTAAAAGAGCAGGAGCAGCAGCTAGTGTAGCAGTGGGAGCGGCAGATTTGGCATCAGTAAAAATGGAGGAAGCAGGAGTAGGAGCAGCAGTGGGAGCAGAAGTTGGAGCTGGTAACCTCTTTCCGCATCCAGGTCCTGCCTCCCCTCTCCTCAATCTGCTCAGCCCGCACTCTGAACACTCCCCTGCCCCATTGCCCTTCCCCCAGCCCATTGCTGGCAACACCAGCCACGCAGAGCAGCAAGAGCTGTTTTTTAGACGCCAGCAAAGCAGCAGCCCCGCAGAGCAGCAAGGGATATCGCCGCACTCTGAACTCTCCCCGACCCCCTTCCTCCAGCCCAGTGCTGGCAGCAGCAGCCACACAGTGCAGCCTGAGTTGTTGCTCAGGCACCAGCAAAGCAGCAAGCCAGCAGGGCAGCAAGGGCTTGTGCAAGGGTTGCACACGCGGCAGGGAAACATTCAGCAAGAAGAGGGGTTCTTGAAAGGTCAGGTCTACCCCGAGACCTTGCCATCCTTCAAGCACTATCTGACTAACTCAAAGCCACCTGGCAGCAGCAGGGATGGTGGTGGTGGTGTGGGAGGCGGGCATGGAGTGGCAGGGCAGGTTGAAATGGGAGAGCCACAGCTACGTTGCTAAATACGAGTACCGAGTATAATACGTTAACGTATTATACGCTTGGTATATACGCGGTACGCCAAGGCTGGCGTACTGCTGATACGCAAAAATACGCTGGCGGGCAGCTAAAACTTTTTTTCCCGGGCAGGTATAAAAAAACCTGTTTCAGGGGGGGGGTTCAGGCCGACAACAACACATGTCAATATTTTATTTCATAAATCTCCAGAAATTCATAGTTCATCCACATAATCCCCACCCTCTAGCGAGCTTACCCACAGCCTATTTCCTTGCGGGGCTTTTCCACCACCACCCCTTCCCCATACTCATCCGCCAGCACTGCATCATCTCCTCCCCCCCCCAGCAGTTCATCCTCCTCCTCCTCGTCCATGTTGTAGCCGCGGGGGATAGGGGCATCCGGGATGTTCCCGGGCACAACCGTGCTGGCCCCATCCTTGTTGTACCAATTGCGCACAATGTTCCAGTTGTGCGCAATGTAAACCAGGTCCGCACACTTGGCGGACCCGAGGCGGTTGCGGCGGGCGGTGTGGACGCCTTCCGACTGCGCCCAGCCACGTTCGCATGAAGAAGCCGAGACGGGCTGAGTGAGAATCCGGCATGCGAGGGTGGCAAGCTCAGGGTACTCGGTGCTGTGCCACGACCACCACTGCACCATGCTCATCTCCCCTTTCTTCACTGCCTCCCTTGCAGCTATGGCGCTCAACTTGCCAAAACTGCCCTCCAAGTTGATGTAGGTCAGCAATGCCTCCTGCAGCACAAGGGAGGCGCGGCGAGGGGCACCATCCTTGCCGCGCCTGAAGGTGACGTGGTCATAGTGGCGCTCGATGTAGTCCTTGAACACCCTCGTGTACTCCACATCGTTCCTAAAAATTCCCTCCTCCTGGTTGGCTGGATTCAGGATCCGGCCAAGCACATGCATGGGGCAGGCAAGGGAGTTGTCCCACCTGTCCTTCACAATCTTGGTGATGTCTGCCCTCTCTGTCCGAGTCAAAAAGTCGCCTGAAGCATCGAGCTTGTCATTGATGTCCTCGGTAAGCTGTAGCATAATGTCATACAGCTTACCCATCATGCCTTTCACGGAAGAGTCCGTGGCCCGCATGGCCTTGAATGGCACCGCCATGAGAGAGGAAAAGAACTCAGCCACCCCCCACCACTCCTCATCCATCACAGCAGCCCTGAATTTCTCAGTTGCAGTCTTCCTATCCTTGTCCCCCGCTGCCCACACCTTCCACTCATCGCTGAGCACCATCGCTGCCAGCCCACTCCTCACCTCACATAGCCGGGCCATGGCTATGTATTGTGTCCCGAACCTGGTTCCCGCAGGCTTGAGCACCTGCTACCCCCCCACTTTCTTCATATAGGCATGGGTAAAGTCGTGGTTGCGCACGAAGGTAATCATCTCCCCTCCTTTCTCCACAAGCCCCTTCGCCCATCCCATTTTGCCCACATCTTCCATTAACAGGTCCAGGACATGCGTGGCACATGGCACATGCTCAATGTGCGGCCATGTGCCCGCAATCTTCTGCGCTGCCGATGCATAGTTGCTGCCGCCATCGGTGCAGACCGCCACCACATTCTCCGGCCCCACCTTATCAATGATGGGGCGGAGAAGGCTGGCGATGTACCCCCCCGTCTTCGACTCCATGTTGCAGTCCATGGCTCGCTCAAAAACTGCGCCGTAGTCGTTGACAAGGAGTATGTTGGCCTGCGGGCGGCCACAACGGCCGGTCATCATGTCCGACGACACGGTGACATCGTCCCGCTTCCAGCTCGCGGCAACGGGGGCGAGCGCTGCCTCCATTTTCTGCCGCACTTTCTTCAAGCCCGCCCCTCCAACGTAGCCCCTCTTGGGGGGAACATACCTTGGTTCCGCGTGCGCAAAGCACTGGACCGCGTAGCGGAAGACCGGATCATCCACGATGCGCTCTAGAAGTTTCAGCGCCGAGATCATTAGGCAAAGCGCGTTATCCGCGTCCTCCTTGGCGCACGTTGCCTCGTCGCCAAAGAATTCTGTTATCTTCCCCTTCTTCTCCGCACAAGCAGTGACCGCGCCCAGCACTGAGTCGAGTGCTGCAGCAGCCGCCCCTCGTTTCATGCTCTTGTTTTCCTCCTTGTTTTCGTACATGGCACGCACTTCTTCACGGACTTTCGGGGACACGTCCTTGCAAAGCCTGACAGGGCGTCCATCTTGCCCTTTCCATTTGGCGAGGTGAACTGCGCAGCGAGTGGTTCTGCCCTCAAACTTGAAGCCACAAAACTTACAAAGCTTGGGATTGCCTTTGGTGTGGGGGGGAATAAGAAAATGTTTCAGAATGGGGTTCGAAAGGCCAGCCTCAACAGGCTGCGTATTGATCGCACTACTAGACGCGTGACCAGAAGCTACATTGCTCGTCGCGCTAGGAGGAGTGGATTTTGACGCCATGGGGCGCGACTAAGGAACGGTAAACTGCTTGAGGAAAACGGGAGATCAGAGCTCGGGAATGAAATTGAGGAGGAGAGAAACGAATGAAGGATAGGAAGGCGTCAACGAGTAAATGCTCACATGACGTGCTGGACATTTGAGAGGGGTGGTTGGATATGAGAGGTTTGGTGGGGTGGTGTGTGGTTGGGGTGGTGGGAGGTTTGGATTCTGAAATTTGAATTTCATACGTGGGTTGGGCGATGTGCTTGGTCGCGTAACCAGTCGCGAAGCCCTAATAACCGTCGCAATTTTTTTTTCAATTTCGATTTTGTTTTTTCGCCGGGCTGCCCGCGCATTTTTTCACAAATTCGAAGCGTATTAGCGTACCACGTACGTACGCAATCATATATACGTGGTACGCCACCCTACCCAGAGCGTATTTGGCAACGTAGAGCCGCAGCAATCGGAAGAGGAGCAGCAGATGCGAAAGGAGCAGAAGAAGAGGGAAATGGCAGAAATGCTCGGCTGGAGGGTAGAGTGGGATAGCAGCCAAGATCAATGGCAGAAGGAGAAGGGTGAACAGAAGCAGGTGAGTTGGCACCTGGATCAGACGCAAACGACCAGCAAGAAGAAAACGAGCGGGGAGAAGCTGATGAACAGGCGGACGAGGCAGGTTACCATTCCCATGTTAGTCCCCCAACAGCAGAGGGCTCTACAGCAGGAAAGAGCTGCTGTTTCTGCTGCTGATGGTGATGGTGCTGGTGGTGGTGGTGCTGCGTTTGCTGCTGATGTTGCCAGCAATAAGTCAGCTAGTAGTGCTGCTGGTGCACACAAGGTAGGGGACAGAGCAGCAGGTCAAGAAATCCGTCATGAGGATCTGCAAGAGCTCGCTGATATTCTCAACTCACTCTTGAGAGAACAGGCCGCTAGTACCACTGCGGTTACCACCAGAACATCCCCTAGGGCTCCCCCTGTTGCTGCTTCCAGTGCTACTGCTATTGCTCCTACTGCTTCTCCTCGTGTACCTTCTGCCGCTGCTTCTGCTGCTGCTACCACTCCTGCTGCTAGTTTGGCTGCAGATGTGTCTCTACCCTTGGGAGGCTCAGGGTCTGGTGTGGTCCCAACAGGTAGTGCACCTTCTGTTATTCCACAAGTGGCTGATGCAATTGGCAAAGTGGAGCATGGAGGGTTTCAGAGCAGCTCAGCAATGCGGCCTCGGAGGACCCTTGTATGCAGTGCAGTCCCGGAGGACCCCTTGCAACTCGCACGAGCGCATTCCCTCGATGCACTCTCACATGCAGCTGCAGCTCCCTCATATGCAGATGGACCACCCTCTGTAGCAGCCTCGAGAGAGTCCAGCGGGGGAAACGGCACAAGGGACAGCATGGAGGGGGAACTGGGTTCCGGGGCCAGCCAGGTCAGCAGCTGCGTAAGGAGGAGAAACAGCGGCAGCAACAGCAACAGCAGCAGCTGCACGAGCAGGAGCAGCAGCAGGAGGACCGTTACCACCAGCATCCGACACTTCAGCAGAACATTCCTCAACAGCACATGCCTCAGCTGAACATGTCTCAGCAACAAATGCTTCAGCAATAGGGGCTCAGTCGTGATCACCAGAAGCAGCAACAACCTGCAGCAGAAGCTGATTCTCAGTGTAAGCAAGAATATACAGAAGATCTCAGCACTGACTTCCCATGGCAAAGGACTTGGGAGCAGGTAGGACTTCGTTCTAATCTTCCATGGTAGAGAAGTTCCTCCTGCCTTGCCGTCTCCCTACTGCTCCAGTCTCCCAGTCAAGGCGTCAACCAGTATCACTCACCCTTCCGTCCCTCCCACAGCCTAGAGTATGCGCAACCCTAGTGGTTGGAGGGACAAGGGGGGCAACAAAGGCTGTATGGCAGGAATCCAAGCGAATCTCTGCTGCATACGAGTCTGTGGGAGAGCAGAGAAAACGAGGTGGCTGGAGAGGGGGTGGAAGGAGAGAGAACGGGAGATTGGAGTGGTGGGGATGGTGGCTTAGAGGAAATCGTTCGCAGCAGCAGCTGGCGTGTAGGAGCACAGGTTTCGGGGGTGGAGAACAAAGAAGAAAGCTTGAGAAGAGGGTTGGGACTTGGAGAAGCAACAGCAAGGATAGAACCAACCAGTGCAGACGTGGCGTCAGCAGGGGTAAAATTTACAACAACAGGAGTAGCTATGGATGCAAGAGGAGGAGGAGGAGGAGGAGGAGGTGGAGGAGGAGGAGGAGGAGGACGAGGAGGAGGAGGAGGCGGAGGAGGAGGAGGAGGAGGAGGAGGAGGAGGAGGAGGAGGAGGAGGAGGAGGAGGAGGAGGAGGAGGAGGAGGAGGAGGAGGAGGAGGAGGAGGAGGAGGAGGAGGAGGAGGAGGAGGAGGAGGAGGAGGAGGAGGAGGAGGAGGAGGAGCAGGAGGAGGAGGAGGAGGAGGAGGAGGAGGAGGAGGAGGAGGAGGAGGAGGAGGAGGAGGAGGAGGAGGAGGAGGAGGAGGAGGAGGAGGAGGAGAGGACATGATGACATCGGTGCATGGGATGGAGCTAGAAGAGCTAGAACCACTCCTACTGGATGTTGACGAGGATATGGGCATCAACAGTAGTGGCATGGGCATCAGCAGCACCAGCATGGGCATCAGCAGCACCAGCATGGGCATCAGCAGCAGTATGGGTAGCGGATTCAGCCACCATCCTAGTCGCAACCTGGTCACAAGATTTCACCCTACCACCAACGATTACCACAGCAGCAGTTACCTGACAAGTGCAGGTGATGCAACCGAAGGTGAACCAATGGAATCGTTCAAAGGTTCATCCATGAAACTAGCCCCAGCTATGGGACTTGTAACATTCATGGGACCTGCACCACACGTACCACCGGGATCCATACTGGTTCAGGGTTATTCCATGTTCACACCCATGCATGATGAGTCTGGAAACCCGTTTGCATCAGAGGAGGGGAATGTTGCCAACATGGCTGCTTATCCCATTTCCAACGCCGCCGGTAGCAGTCATGGCATGTGGCCTAAGGGGCATGAGGATCTGTTGCTGCCTTAGTCATACTTCTCAGCACCAGCAGTGGTAGGGACAGGAGGCTGGTCACGGGCAGATGGAGCAGCAGCAGCATCTGTAGGAGTAGTAGAAGGGGCAACAGAAACAGCAACAGCAGCAGAAGTGGCAACTACAGGTAAAACTTTTGATGTAACAGGGATGTCGGTAATAGGGGACGGGGGGTTGAGCAGCGCACAGCGCACCGGGATGCTGCTCTCTCCAAAAAGAAGCAGCGAAGAGGACTGATGAGACTCGATTAGAGTAGCCGTTTCCTCTCCACCAGTGGTTTTCAGGAAGCAGTTAATTTGGTCTAAACGGCGACAGCTTGCTCAGGTCAAATGGTTAGAGTTGACCCACAATTGTGGGGGTAGTATCATTTACTTCCCCCAAAGGGGGCCTAATGACTACTGCTGACCGCATTCTTCCTGAAGCGTATACAAGAGATAGGAGTACTTGAAGATCGATGTATGACCAGAGTTCTGAATCGACTTAGAGAATGAAAATCGTGATTTCGGGTACACCAAAGGACTGGAGCAAACTTCTAAGAAGAAGTGGTTGGTGGGGAGTAGTTCTGAGTCAACTCTGAAGGCAACTTATACCAAGTCAATTGACACTTTGAGTTGAATCAAGGCCATCTCAGGTCAGCACATCACAGGCCACCTTTAACCAACTCAATCCCCATCTAGCACCAACATGCAGTTGGCCCTTTTGTGGTAGGTGAGGTGAGGTGCACCAGGAGACAGGTTAAATTCCAGGTAAAGTTTCCCTAAGCTTATTCCTCCGCAAATCCCTGTGGAAGGTAATGTCTTTATGGTGCGTGGAGAGGATTGTTATAAAACTTGTGAGCTCCGTTTTGTCTCTGCCCCAGTGGATGCCTGGGGATGGGGTGGGCTTTGACCAAGTGGATGTCTGGCAATAGGGTGGGCTTTGCAATCGTAGAGGCTTGAATCATTCACGTTAGGATGCCATGTTACCTTGCTTGCTTGTTACAATGGCATTACTGTTGCGGAGATCCACTCGACATCTCATACTAGACTACGGGGGAAGGCACGGGTGGTACAAATAAAAGTATTGTTTTCTCGTGTTCTACCTAATGCACATTCACGGGGCAAATCGACAAGAGTTTCACTAGCAAAAAGAATTACACAATGACGCACAATGGTTTGGCAAAGGTGACTACATCTAGGACCTAGCAAGCAAGCAAGCAGGTTGACCTCCAGCGCGGCATGAGGGCGGCTTGCTAGCGCCGCAAGTCGGGGGCGCGCGGATGCAGTTGAAAGGCGGCCTACCAACGCTGCAAGTTGGTGGCCTGCCAGCGTTGTACCAGGGCAGCTTACAACGCTGCAACAAGGCGGCTTGCTAGCATTGCAACCGCACGTGACTATATTGCACCATGCGCGCACCCACTACGCATGTGCTGGTAGATAGTTGAGCGCGTCGTGCACCGTCACACACATTGTGCATGTGCCAAGTCGGCCACGTGGCAACGGTTGCGTCATATGCACAACGTCGAACCGAAGCTCAAGTATTGTTGCCACTTAGGTCGCCTTCACCAAAACCACCTGGACAACGTTCTCCCACTTCAGCTTGTCGACTAGGTTACTCGTTCGACTTGAGGAGGCCGTCGCTGCCCGCAGGTTGGCGACCGCAATTCGTTGTCATGTCGGCGCACACCTTTGACGACCGCCGAATTCACTTTGTCGGCCTACGCCATGGCCGGCTTCGCCAAAGTCTTCTCTACTATGGACGACTTTCTCGAAGTCGGCTAATGTCGAAGTCGGCTAACCAAGCCGACATGATCCTCCAAGTCGGCGACGACCACGAAGTCGGCTCCACTAAGGTCGGCCTGCCAGGCCGACTTGCTCCTCCAAGTCAGTGCCGACCAAGCCAAGCGAGTTGCACACCTTACAATCCGGACAAGTCCAAGTTGCTTAAGCAAGGGCGGGGCCTTCTCTCCAAAATACTCCCCTGCCGAGCTTGAGCTTGGGCACCAGACACACGCAAAACTTCACATGAAACCTACGTAATAGAGTACATGGGGATAACTTCGGCGTGCACACCCAGCACGCCGTTTACCGTTTCAGCCATGCTGAAGGGCATGGCGCCTACTGCTGCACTTTGTCATCACTCTCGCCAACGTCGGCTCGACCGAATTGGCCAACTAAGACAGAGATGGGCACTTTAATGGCCCGAACTGGTCTCCCCAAGGGCTACTAGTGTCGTCCTGGGGGGGTATGGGTGCGCTGACCCACCAAGAATACATGCCCTTATATCCTAGTTGGTTAGAGAAGTGAGATTTATCCCTGCAAGGGGGATACTTCGTCGACGTACACTCGCTTCACGCCTTTAAATACATCAGCCATGCAAAAGGATATGGTGCCTAGGGTGCACGTCTTTGCCGTTGACGTCGGCAAAGCAAACTCGGCCGACTATGAGGGAGCACCAATTAAAGGCCCGAAAGTGCAGCGCTTTCATGAGGAAGGCGTCGATTGCTCAGTTGTCGAGATGTACACCAGCGCAACCATACTTCGCTTCACCATCAGCTGTAGCCAGACGTAGCATCATTCAATATGCTTGAGGTTGCCCTTAGCCCCAAGCCATACTCAGGATGGCCAACTGGTTGTCCACATTCAGGATAGTTGGCCTTAGAGCATCGAGCAGCCGGAACTTGGCGAGGAGGAAAAGAAGTCGGGTTGCCTCCATGCCAGCTTTGGTGGCAGAGTTGTACTCCGACTCTGTCAACAACAGAGTCACGCGCTTGATGCACTGGCTCGTCCAGGAGATGGTGGCACCGCTGAAGACGAAAACGTAGCCGTTTGTGCTATAGTACATCTGCTTGTCGACGGCGTCGTCGGCGTCTGCGTGGCCGACTAGACACAGCGACTCAGGTATATCGTCGAACTCCAGGGTGGCGTCAGATGTGTCAGCGAAGTAGACAAAACAGTGATCAAACTCGCGCCAGTGCTGGTCGCTCTCACCGCCATGCCGGACCCCATACACGCAAAGGTGATGTTGGGCCAAGTCGTCGTGGCGGCGAGCTGCAACGAACCGACCTTGTGTCTGTACTCCTCTTCCTCGCGCGACTGAAAGCCATTGTTGCTAAACGTCAGGTCAGCGTAGGCATCATCGGAGACAAGTCTCCGATGACAATGAAGCTCTTATGCAACTATTCAGCATACGACTGCTAGTGGAGCCTCATCTTCCATGCAAGTCGGTCGCACACAACTTCCAGCACGAGATACTTCGCGATCGGGCTGATCTCGCACAGCTCGAAGGCGGCCTCCAGTAGCTCGAAGGCGGCCTCCAGCTCCTTCAACATCGCCAGACTGCCACTGGCGGCAAATAAGTAGTCGACGTAGACAAGCACCGAGCATGCCACTCGTCAACCTCGCTCGTGCTCTAGCAGTCGCCGGTCAGCACGGCGTCGAGCCAAGTACCACAGCAACGACGACTGATTGAGGCCGTACATGCTCTTCGTTATCAGCACCCAACGGTTCTTCATCACGTTGATACCACGTGGTCACTCAATGAGCTCCCACGTGACATTGGTGAGGAGACTCTGTCCAATGCCCTGGCGACATGTCCAATCATCTCCTTGTCCATGGCGTCCTTTTCTGCCTTGCCCTTCTAGCTCGCCAACGCCTCCTTGACAGTCATGGTCAGGATGTCCCATCGCCTCTCCAGGTTGGCGTGCTTGTCGTGGTCGATCTCGGGCAGGTCGATGTTGGCCTGCGCGTCATCGAGGAGCGGACTGTAGGTAGTCGGCGGCAGGTAGGCATAATAACTCCACAGCTCTAGATCCTTGCCAAAGTTGGGGCGGTGGAACGATGCGGTTTTTACTCGTCGACCAGGACTTCCGCCACGTCACTGTCACTAGAATGCTTTCCCATAGACAACTCCCCTTCGTCGTCAGCGACGTCGGCGACCTCCACCACGTCGTTTGGCAAGCCGTCGCTGAGCTGCTCTCCTATTGTCATCTCCCCTGCCGAATTCTCCCTAAACCCTAAACCGCAGTAGGCGGCGTGGCCACCGACGGTGGAACAGCGGGAATCAAGAAAGGATGTGAAGGGACGTCCTCATCATTTGACTCATCATCCTCCGCGAGAGTCGTCGTTGAGAAGGAATCCGTTGGCAGGGAAGCTTGCATCCATTCCGACGCCTCGCCATGCAGCGCCTTCCTTATCTCATGCAACAAAGCCTTATATTATATGACCTTGACCGTTGTGATCACCTTGTTGTCGGTGAGGTCGAGCACCTCCTAGTCCATGCTCTCTAGCAAGACACCAAGTTGAAGTCCCCAACGGGCCTTTGGTGCCAGCTTCCCGCCACGCTGCTGCTCGGGGACCATGAAGTGCACCATGAAGCCCCATACCCGCGCCAGCGTAAGGATTGGCTTCTTGCCGTACAGCAGCTCGTGCAGCGTCGTCCTCATCGGGAGCAAAGTCTGCTCAAGACAACTGCGCACCTAGATGACTTGGCGAAGGGCGAGGTGCTACTAATGGTGCTTCACGCCCATGTGAAGTAGCATCGTTCGAACAGCTTCGATGACCGTGCGCGCCTCTTACTCAGCCGTGCCATTCCGCTATGACGTGTACGGACACGACAAGTCGAGGACGATGCCCTTGTGGTTGACAAAGTTGGTGAAAGCTCGAACGAGGAACTCTTCTCTGTAGACTGAACGAAGCATCTTGGCCGACTTCGAAGTCTGTCGCTCCACCACCTTCAGCCACTTCGCGAAGATGACCAGCATATCGCTCTTCTTCACAATTGGTTGGGCCCTCACGTAATGTGTCTTTTGGTCCTCTGATAGGAGAAAGTAGAGTTCTCGGCGTCCGAACCCTTGGCTGGGAACGTGTGCCGCGCCAGCTTGCGAGTGCCACAGGGCACGCATGGCAAGTAGGCTTCGGGACGATGGCTTGATATCCAGGCTGGCGTCGACCCCATACATCGCTGAGCTCTTGACCTTGTAACGCCGACATGAGCGAGCCGGGCGTGCCACATGTCCGACGTCGACAAGGCAATTGGTCGACTTTGTCGCCAAGGCAATTGGTCGACTTCGTCGTGCAGAGGGGAAGATCAGTATAGAGGACCCAGTTAGTGTAGCGTGCACGACAGAGCACATCTCCCACAGCCGACACCAGCAACATCTTGTCATCGTCGTTTTGCAACTCCACGCCACTGTCCTTCAGCTGGTCAGTCGACAGTAGATAGGCCTGCATGCATGGGACGCAGAGAACGTTGAGAACAAGGATCTGCTTCCCGAACTCCACTTGCAGAGCAACGGTGCTGCGAACTTGGATGACCTGAGTTGCCCCATTGAAGCCGCCATGTGGTTGACGTCGCTGCCTGGATCCATGACGAGAGCAACCGCTGTCGAGCAGCACCACCAGGATTTAGTTGCACGGCAGCGGTGACCGCCTTGAGGTCATTGCTGGCCTCCAGCGTCAGCGAGATTGTTGGCTCCACAACGCCGACCTTCGAGAACGAGGAGCTTTGTGGGCCGCTCAGTCTGATGCACGAAATCGTCGTTGATGATGTGACTCAACAGCATGTCCTCGTTGAGCGTTTTGCGCACGCCAGGCGATGGCAGCATCCGGCGCATAAGATTGTAGCCCATGGGGAGGCCCATAACGATATGGGCAACGTACGAGGCTGAGAAAGTACGAACGAGGAGGGAAATGACTATGAATGAAGTGAGTACAAATAGGAAACCCTAATTGGGTTGTACCCCCTATGGGATACCCCACTATAGCCTACAGAAACAAGTAAGCTATGAGTTCTGACACACCCCCATAGGCAAAGTGGGGGAGAACAAGGGGTCACAAGACCGGTCAAGCAAAGCAAAGCAAAGCTCAGGGTGGATCACAAAGTCACCACGCATTCCGAGCACAAGTTCAAAGGCCACAAGGCCAGTTCACATGCAAGATCATATATAGAGATATACAAGAGCAAGAGTATATATATGCGAAAGTACAAGCAAGGTCAAGAGGAGAGCAAGTGAGGCAAGACAGGCACAAGACCCAACTGCGTGCAGCAACGCTGATGATCACAAGGCGCAAGTGCCTTGGTGAAGACATCAGCAGTGTTGGCCTCAGAGGCCACGTACAAAAGTCGCAGCTGTCCACGCTGCTGTAGCTCACGAGCAAGAAAGTAGCGAAGAGCAATGTGCTTCGTTCTGTGCTCCAGTCGCTGCTCTCGACACAAGGCCAGCATGGCCTTGTTGTCTACGTACAGGACTGGAGGAGAACGAGGCTGCTCTCCAAGGTCGGTCAGCAGGTAGGTGAGCCAGCGTAACTCCTGTGCAGCCATAGCCCCAGCGTAGATCTCAGCCTCACAACTGGAGCCGAGAACAGAAGACGAGCGGGTAGCCCGCCACGAGACAGAGCCGGAACCAAGGCTGAAGGTGTAACCCTGTGACGACCGCTGCGTAGCCTGGTCGTCAGCCCAAGAAGCGTCTGCGTGCCCAGTGAGGACCACTGGACTGCGCCCTCCAAGCACTAGCCCCATGCCCGACGTACTGCACAAGTAGCGCAACACCCTCTTCGCTGCAGCCATGTGCTCTGGTCGGTGTCTCCCAGGAGCAACAAAGCGTGCGAGAATGCTAAGAGGGTATGCGAGGTCAGGTCGTGTGCAGGTCATCAGGTACATGAGGCAGCCAACAAGCTCTGCATACGGACCACTCGACTCTACGGACTCATCCGAAGGCAGAGCTGAGAGCGAGTGGCGAGTAGGCAGAGGAGTGGCCTGAGGCGAGGAGTACGTGAAGCCGAAGCGCTGAAGGACCTGCTGCACCATGTGTGACTGAGTCAGGGTAATGGTGCGGCGTGCTCTGTCCCGGGTGATCTGCAAGCCAAGGTAGCTGCGCAGTTCACCCAGGTCAGTGCACGTGTGTCTCTTCTGCAGCTCCGACTTCACGTAGGCGAGTCCAGCAGTGTCAGCTGTGGCAAAGACCAAGTCGTCGACGTACACGAGGATGTAGAACGGCGGCAGAGAGGTGTCGGTGCGCAGAAACAGCGACGGGTCGGCAGTGGAAGGAGCAAACCCAAGTGCCGCGAGCGTAGTCCTCAGTGTGTCGTGCCACTCACGTGGCGCCTGGCGGAGACCGTAGACTGGACGCCGGAGACTCCACTGGGTACCAGGAGGGAAAGACCCAGTGAAGCCAGGTGGGCGACGCAGCCAGATCTCCTCGTGCAGGCTGCCCTGCAAGAAAGCTGTGCTGAAGTCGAGAGAGTGCAGCTCGTAGTCACGGTGAGCAGCAACGTGTAGCAGAACCCGAAGAGTGGTCATCTTCGGGGTGGGGGAGAAGGTCTGAAAGTAGTCAACCCCCTGCCGCTGACTGAAGCCACGAGCCACGTAACGCGCCTTGAAGACAGGCGGAGAACCCGGCGGCCGCTTCACCCTGAAAATCCACATGCCACTGACGATGTTTGCCCCAGGAGGGGGAACAGCGTCAACGTAGGTGCCTGTGGACTTCCAGGAAGCCATCTCTGCATCCATAGCTGCCTGCCACTGAGAGGAGTAGGGACCCTCTATCGCCTCCGCGTAAGAGCGCGGAGTCGGGATGTCTGGTGCATCCGGGTCTCCCTCAGGGGCTAGCAGTACAGACGCGAGACGAGGTGAAGCGACGGCCAGACACTGGAACTCCTCCTGCCTGTCCTCAAGGACGTCCGTGCCAAGGGCACACTCACCCCCGACGGACGGAGGACAGGCGGACTCAGACTCAGTGACAAGGGCAGCAGCGTAGTCTAGATGACAGCGCGCAGCAAAGTCGACAAGCTCAGTGACAAGGGCAGACGCAGCAGACGACTCGAAGGAAGGGTCAGTGACAGCAGTAGCCAGGAGACGCGTGACAGTAGGACTGGCAGCACGGAGAGCGTCTGACTCCGGGTCGGCAAGAGCAGGAAGAGAGGAAGCAGGAGGAGAAGGCAAAGGGGCACGCAGAGGAGCAGTGGACGGACGCAGTGACATCCGGTGCGTGCCAGGGACAGGAGGAGGACGCTGACGCGACCCGCGACCACTAGCGTGCTCAGTACGAACAGGCGACACAGGACGAGACGCAGGCTCACGACGCTCAGTAAGACCACCAGTCGGACCAGCGTAGGGAGAAGGAGCAGGCAAAGGGGAGGCAGGCTGTAGCTGTGGCTGGGACCGGACAGGCTGCAGACCCTCTAAGGGAGGAGGAGGAGGTGTAAGACCAAGAACCTGCTGCAGGAGCGGAACAAAGTACGGTCGGGGCCGCGTGGCGACGCTAGAAACAGTAGGAACAGCACCAGCAGCCCCGGCAGGAGCACCCACTCCAGCAGCACCTCCAGCAGCACCACCAGAAGCTCCAGAACCTCCAGCCGCAGCACCAGGAGCACTGTCAGTCGGGCCGCCAACGGCAGGCTCAGCGCCAACACCCTCAGCAGGACCAGCTCCAGGAGAACTCTCAGACTCAGCAGCTCCAGCACCCATAGTACGAGCACCGGCGGGGCGCGCAGCAACAGTGCCCTCTGCAGCCGAAGAACCACCAGCACCAGCAGCACGCCTCCAGCGCCCGGCAAACCACTCACGCAGCTCCTGTGGGGAGAGTGGCCCCCGGCGAGACGAAGCACCCCCAGGCACAGCACCCTCGGGCTCAGCACCCCTAGACACAGCACCTCCAGGCACGGCACCCCCAGGCTCAGCACCCCAAGGCCCAGCACCCCCAGGCACAGTACCCCCAGACTCGGCACCTCCATGCTCAGCACCCCCAGGCACAGCACCCCCAGGCTCAGCACCCCCAGGCTTAGCACCCCCAGACTCGGCACCTCCAGGCTCAGCACCCCCAGACTCCGCACCCCTAGGCTCAGCTCCCGCAGCAGTACCAGAGTCACCAGTGACCTCGACAGGCTCGACCGCGTCTACCTGGGACACACCTGAAGGGGCAGGACCCTGAGGGGGGAGGGGGACTACCGGGGGGGGGACCTGGTACCAAGAAGAGCGGGGGTGGGGGGAGGGACGGAGTGCGGTAGGGGAAGAGGCGGTAGTAGGGCACCGACTCGTCGAACGTGACGTCCTGGGAGGACAGAACACGTCGAGAGGTGGGGTGGTAAAACTGCCACCCAGGGGCGTCGGGGGGGAACCCCAGGAAGACGCAGGGAGAAGCACGAGGGGACAGCTTGTCGGCAGACAGGTCGCGAACAAACGCCCGAGATCCCCAGACCCGGAACGCCGACGCATCGCCAACCTTCCCCGTCCACAGCAGGGCTGGGGAGGTCTCCGGTCGAGAGACCCTGGGGTGGAGGTTGATCTGGTGCGCAGCGTACCTGACCGCAAACGGCCACAGAAAATGGGGAGCAGCCGCATGCATCATGGACGTACGAGCGACGTCCATGACCATGCCAATGCGGCGCTCAGCAATCCCATTTTGCTGCGGTGAGTCCGGAAGCGTGAAGGTCTGACGGATGCCTCGCACACGACAGTAGGCACTCAGGAGGCCGGAGGAGAACTCTCCACCTCTGTCCGAGTGCAGACGCAAAACAGGGAAGTCAGAGCCAAAGCTCCTCCGAAGCCGGAGACGAGCTGCGCGGATCCAGTCGATCAGCACCTCAGTGACTTCACCCTTGCTGCGCAAGGGGAAGACTGTGGTGTAACGCGAGTAGTCGTCAACCACCAGCAGGAAGTAGCGCTCCTGACCCTGTCCACGGACGCGGGCTGGGCCCCACACGTCCATGTGAAGCGTCTGCAACGGGGCCTCTGTGGGAGGAAACTGGGAGGAGTGAGGGGCAGCACGCTGGCGCCCCTCGACACAGGGGACACAGGTGGGGCCAGGGCCCGGAGGAAGGGGAGGGAGAGACCGGGGAAGACCAGACACAAGGACTCGCGAGGCCATGCCTCTGAGCCGAAGCAGAGAGGGGTGGCCAAGGCGGTGGTGCCAGAGGAGGGTCTCGTGAGACAGACGACGACACGAGCAGGGGGCAGACTCAGGACCAGACCTGGACGCTGCAGCAAACACCTGACCAGACGAAGGGACCCTACCAGACTCAGCACCTGGAGGAGAAGCAGTGGTCAGTGTGTACAGGCTCGACCCTGGCCGACGTGTAAACGTAGCCAGGTGGCGACCTGTATCCTCCTCCGTGCAGTGGGTCACCCGCTGACGAGCAGGGGTGAACTGGTGGACACCCGCATCCTGGAGGTCAGCACCACTCACCAAGTTCGTCGAGAACGAGGGGAGGTAGAGACCAGTCAGGGTGCCAGAGGGGGCCGCCGGACACGGGAGGACAGTGGAGAAGCGAGCCAGGACCGGCCCCCCAGAGGGGTCAGCCAGGGACACTGCAACCGGCCGACTCAGCGGTGTGAGAGTGGTGCGGTCCCTAAAGAAGGAGCGAGACGCTCCAGAGTCAAGGGTGAAGGTGTGAGAGGCCGAAGCCGACACAGTACCTGAGAGGGCAGACTCACCAGCACCTGAGAGCACAGACGCACTGGCACCTAGAGCAGCAGCCTCACTAGTACCTGACGCGGCAGTACCAATGCCCGGGTCGGGCGGGAAACACCGGTAACAGTCATCCTCATCACTACCAGTCACAGCATACATAGCAGAGAGAATAGCATCAAAGTCAAGATCATAAATAGCTACTCCAGCTCTAGACAGCTCTCCCCAGCGGGGGATCTCAGCGGCCTCCGGAAACTGCTGACGCCAGGCGTCGGTCAGGCGGCCAAAGCAGCGACGGGCTGTGTGGGCGCCTCCACACCTCTCCCCCGCACGGTCACCGGTGCGAAGAACGTAGGGGCAGGGACCAAGAGCACCACCGCGCTGACGCTGCAAGTACCACTCACGGAGCTGCTGAGGGCCGGGGACGGTGCGAGAACGCTGCTGCTGCTGCGGCTGCTGCTGCTGCTGCTGCTGGCGCTGACCACCCCCAGAGCTGCTCCGCTGGGACGAGCCACTCCGACCCCCGCCTCGATCACCACCCCCGCCTCCACCGCCACCCCCGTCTCCACCGCCACCTCCCCCACCAGGACCGTCGCTCCCACCGCTCCCACCGCCTCCTCCGCTACCACCTCCGCCGCCACCTCCGCCTCCACCGCCGCCACTAGTACCTCCACTCCCGCCACCACCTCCACCGCCACCCCCACTCCCCCCGCCACCCCCACCTCCTCCGCCACTGCCTCCTCTAGATCCACCCGCTCCCTTGCCCCCCTTGCCCTTGCCAGAGCGGCGTCTGCCGCTGGGGGCAGACGCCGCACCGACCGACTCAAAACCAGCGAGGTCGGCCGTAGCAGCAGAGGCGACAGAGGGCAGCAGGGGGGAAGGAGAACACCCCTCAAAGATGGGGGTGCGAGGGTCACCCCTAGAGGCCCCTACAGCGACTATACTCTTCTCAGCCGCTAGCAGGGACTCCTCAAGGAGGTCGACAGTGAGGGTGGTGGGACAGGCAGAGAGAAACTGGTCCCTAACGACACGAAGGGACTCGGGAAGACGGGTGACGAGAAAGTAGAGAGTGATATACATGGGAGGAGGGTTTGCGGCGCGGAACTCAGCAGGAAGGGCAGCGCGGTAGCGAGCGTCACTAGCACGGAGGTGGGTAACGAGGTCAGCGACAGTGGGAAAGGAAGCGAGGTCAGGGAAGAGAAACGGTAGCATGAGGCGGCTAAGGGTAGCGGAGGAAGGGGAGGAGTAGCGTGCAACTACAGCGTCGTACAAGGCCTGAGCGGTCTTGCACTGACTAAAGTGGGCACGCTCAGAGGAAGGGAGGTGGCGACGCACAGCAAGACGTGCAGCAGCATCGCGGGTCGCCCACTTGGAGCGAACGGCAGAGTCAGCATCAGCAGGCGGGGCAGGGACAGCTCCAGAGACAAATTCAAAGAGAGAGACCTCATCTATCGCATCACACAGTAAGTACAGCTGTAGGTCTTCAATCCAGACGGCAAAGTCAATGGCCCTCCCCTCAGCGTCAAAAGTAAGAACATTGGGGGTGGCCATGGCAGCAGCTGAAAGTCTCACCGGGCTGGAGGAGTCGGGTAGGTCAGCAGCAGAGGAACACAGCTCAGGGACAGCAGCACGGCTCCTCAGGTGGCTCGCGTGGCTCAGGCGGCTCGGGCGGCTCGGGCGGCTCGGGCGGCTCGGGCGGCTCGGGCGGCTCGCGCGGCTCGGGTGGCGTAGGGGCTCACGGGCGGCGCGGGCTGCTGGGGCTGCTCACGTGCAGCACGGCGGGCTGCAGCAGGGCCGGTGGCGGGCTGTAGCAGGGCCGGCGGCGGGCTGTAGCAGGGCCGGCGGCGGGCTGTAGAAGGGGCCTGTGGCGGCTGTAGCAGGGCCGGTGGTGGGCTGTAGCAGGGCCGGTGGCGGGCTGTAGCAGGGGCCGGTGGCGGCTGTAGCAGGGCCGGTGGCGGGCTGGGAGGCTGTAGGCGGGGCCGACGCGGCGGGCTGTAGCAGGGGCCGGTGGCGGGCCTAAGCGGGGCCAGCGCGGGGCCGACAGGGCGTAGGTGGGGCCGGCGCGGGGCCGAATAGGGGCCTAAGCGGGGCCGACGGAGCCTACGCGGCCCCGACACGGGGCCGAGACGGGGCCTGGGCGGGGCCTACGCGGGGTCGACGAGGTGTACGCGGGGCCTACGCGGGGTCGACGAGGTGTACGCGGGGTCGACGAGGTGTACGCGGGGTCGACAAGGTGTACGCGGGGCCTACGCGGAGTCGACGAGGTGTACGCGGGGCCTACGCGGGGTCGACGAGGTGTACGCGGGGTCGACGAGGGGCCTAAGCGGGGCCGACGAGGGGCCTAAGCGGGGGCCGACGAGGGGCCTAAGCGGGAGCACGACTGGAGGGGCGACTCGGAGGGTCGCTAAAAAAAATGCGCGCCTCGGGGCGCGCTTCGGTGGGCCCTAGGAACAGGCCCTAGGAAGGGACCTGCTCTGATTCCATGAGAAAGTACGAACGAGGAGGGAAATGACTATGAATGAAGTGAGTACAAATAGGAAACCCTAATTGGGTTGTACCCCCTATGGGATACCCCACTATAGCCTACAGAAACAAGTAAGCTATGAGTTCTGACAGAGGCCACCGAGTAGTCGACGCTGGCCATCCATAGGTTGGCCAAAATCCTCCAAGCGTGGTTGTAAAACTCAGTCGTCAACTCTTGCTTACCCATTCGTATGTTGGTTAGCCGCTGCTTGACCGATATACATGTTATCAAACGCCTTGTAGGTGTGCATGACAAAATGCCTCGCTTGGTGACCGGCGTCCACCCGAGGTCAACACGACTTTAGGGTGATATGCACCATGGACGAGCAACACCGAGAGATGATTATGAAGGCCAGCAGTTGAGCGGCAAGGAATTCCGCCCGGAGCTCGACGTCGGCCTCATCCTGTGTCTCTACGTCGCCGGCGACAAACGACTTCAGTCCGATGATCTACAGCTGCTACTCAATAGACCTCGTCCACGTAATGAGGTCGTGCCGACCTTCGAGCTACTGGGGCACGCCAATCTTGTCCGGCGAAAACTTGAAATAACCGTACGCCGATGCAATGCAACCATCTCGCCTAGCTGACCATGAGTCGCCAAAGTCAGCCGAACTCCACTTAGCCGGGGAGAGCAACATCGAGCATCGACGTCGCTGCGCGAGCTGCCTGTGGTCGCCGTCGACCATAGCGCTTGCGTTTGCATTCTACCGACGTCGATGTCGGGGGCCCAAATCACACCTCATGTCACCTTCGTGCCCTCGTCGCCGACTTGGTTGCCGCCATCGCCTTCGTTGTGAACAGGTCGGGAAGAGGCGGATGCGCCGCTCGCTTCAGGTAGGGAAGGGTGCTCATGCGGCCACTGCGTACGAGTGCCAAGAGTACCTCCAAGTGAGCCTCACCGAACTCGCCAGCATCGTGGCGTCGCCGATAATCAACCTCCTGTACCGCCAAGGTATCCTCTATTCATCCGGGTCCATAACGACTTGAGTAATGTGCAACTAAGATGACTAATCTCTAAAGGTATTTTGCAGGGTTGTCAGCGCCATTCGTTGAAGTTGGCTTCGTAGTTGTCGGCTTTGTTGAAGTCGGCTCCTCCCAAGTCAAACTCCACTACTGTCAGCCAGCAAAGTCGACTTGCTCTGTCAGAACTATATTGTAGGCTGTAGTGGGGCACTCCTTATGAGGTAAAGTAGTGTTAGGTTTTGCCTATACAAACCTTGTACTGTCCTCTTACTAGTCATTCTCGTTTCCTACTTTGTGACATGGTATCATAGCAATGTGCTTCAATCTGTGCTCCAGTCTGCCCTCCTGACACAAGGCAATCAAGGCCTTATTGTCGACATACAGAACTGGAGGAGAACGAGGCGCCTCTTCCAAGTCGGTCAACAGGTAGGTGAGCCAGCGTAACTCCTATGCAGCCATGGCCCCAGCGTAGATCTCAACCTCACAACTAGAGCTGAGAATAGAAGACGAGCGGGTAGACCGCCACAAATCAGAGCCGGAACCAAGGCTGAAGGTGTAACCCTGTGACGACCGCTGCGTAGCCAAGTCGCCAACCCAAGAAGCGTTTGCGTGACCAGTCAGGAGAACTCGAGCCCGTCCTCCAAGCACGAGCCCCATGCCCGACGTACAGCACAGGTAGTGCAACACCCTCTTAGTTGCATCCATGTGCTCTAGTCGGGTCTCCTAGGAGAAACATAGCGTGCAAGGATGCTAAGAGGGTATGCCAGGTCAGGTCGAGTGCAAGTCATCAGGTACAAGAGGCAGCCAACAAGCTCTGGGTACGGGCCACTCGGCTCTACGGACTCATCCGAAGGCATACCTGAGAGCGAGTGGTGAGTAGACAGAGGAGTGGCCTGAGGCGAGGAGTACGTGAAGTTGAATCGCTGAAGGACCTGCTGCACCATGTGTGACTGAGTCAAGGTAATGGTGCGCCGTGCTCTGTCCCGGATGATCTGCAAGCCAAGATAGTTGCGCAGCTCACCCAGGTCTGTGCACGTGTGTCTCTTCTGCAGCTCGGACTTCACGTGGGTGAGTCCAGCAGTGTCAGCACTAGCAAAGACCAAGTCGTTGACCTACACGAGGATGTAGAATGGCGGCTATATAGTGTCGGTGCGGAGAAACAGCGATGGGTCAGCAATGGAAGGAGCAAACCCAAGAGCCGCAAGCGTAGTCCTCAGTGTGTCGTGCCACTCACGGGGCGCCTGGCAAAGACCGTAGACTGGCCGCCGGAGGCTCCACTGGGTACCAGGAGGAAACGAACCAGTGAAGCCAGGTGGGCGGCACAGCCTGATCTCCTCGTGCAGGCTGCCCTGTAGGAAGGCTGTGCTGAAGTCAAGAGAGTGAAGCTCGTAGTCGCGCTGAGCGGCGACGTGTAGCAGTACCCAAAGAGTGGTCATCTTCGGGGTGGGAGAGAACGTCTGAAAGTAGTCAACTCCATGCCGCTGGCTGAAGCCTCGAGCCACGTAACACGCCTTGAAGACAGGCAGAGAACCCGGCGGCCGCTTCACCCTGAAAATCCACATGCCGTCGATGATGTTCGCCCCAGGTGGGGGAACCTTGTCGACGTAGGTGCCTGTGGACTTACAGGAAGCCATCTCTGCGTCCATGGTTGTTTGCCACTGAGAGGAGTAGGAACCCTATATCGCCTCTGTGTAAGAGCGCGGGGTCGGGATGTCTGGTGCATCCGGGTCTCCCTCAGGGGCAAGCAGCATGGACACGAGATGAGGTAAAGCAGCAGCAAAATACTGGAACTCCTCCTGCCTATCCTCAAGGGCGTCCGTGCTAAGAGCACACTCACCCCCGACGGACGGAGGAGAGACAGACTCCGACTCAGCAACAAGACTAGCGGCGTAGTCTGGACGACAATGAGCAGCTAAGTCGATAAGCTCAGCAACTAAGGCAAAAGCAGCAGTGGACTCAAAGGAAGGGTCAGTGACAACAGTGGCCTGGAGATGCGTGATCGTAGGAATAGCACCACGAAGGGAGTAAGACTCCAGGTCCGGACCGACAGAAAGGGAGGACACAGAAGGAGACGGCAGAGGGACACGCTGTGGAGGAGTGGAAGGACGCATTGCCATCTGGTGCGTGCCACAGAAAGGAGGAGGACGCTAACGCGAACCACAAGGACTAGTACGAGCAGCGAGAATAGGCGACGGAGTGTGAGACGCAGGCTCAGGACGCTCAGCAAGACCTCCGGTCAGACCAGTGTAAGGAGAAGGAGCAGGCAGTGGGGAGGCGGGCTGTAACTGTGACTGCGACTAAACAGGCGATGGACACTCTAAGGGAGGAGCAGGACCAGTAGAGGGCGGGAGACCAAGAACCTGCTGAAGGAGTGGAACGAAGTACGGCTGCGGCCGTGCAGCACCACTAGAACCAGCAGAGACAGCACCAGCACCCCTAGCGTCAGCTCCAACTCCTGCAGCACCATCAGCTCTAGCAGCACCTCCAGCAGCTCCAGCAGCGCCAACTCCAGCATCTCCAGCAGCCCCAGCTCCAGCAGGACCACCAGAAGTCCCAGCCGCTCCAGTAGCGCCAGCTCCAGCACCTCTAGCAGCACCGGCCCCAGCATCAAGGCCAGCTCTAGTTTCTCCAGCAGCTCCAACTCTAGCAGCACCACCAGGCCCACCAGCTCCAGTACGAGCATTACCGGGACCAGTGGCTCCAGAACCCCCGGCAGCTCCAGCAGCAGCAGGATCTCCAGCTCTAGTAGCGCCACTAGCTCCTTTAGCACGACTCCAGCGCCGAGAAAACCACTCGCGCAGCTGCTGTGGAAAGAGTGGTTCCCGCCGGGACAAGGCACCTTAAGGACCTCTAGGCTCAGCACCCCCAGGCTCCACACGCGTAGGCTCAGCACCCGCAGGCTCTGCACCCTCAGACTCAGCACCCCCAGGCCCAGCACCCCCAGGCTCAGCACCCCCAGACTCAGCACCCCCTTGCTTTGCACCCCCTTGCTTTGCACCCCCAGCAGCACTAGAGTCAATAGCTACCTCGATACGCTCGACTGCGTCTACCTGGGACACACCTGATGGGGCAGGACCCTGAGGGGGAAGGGGGTCTACCGGAGGAGGACCTGGCGCGAGGAAGAGTGGTGGGGGGGGGGGGGAGGGGGCAGTGCGGTAGGGGAAGAGATGGTAGTAAGGAACTGACTCGTCAAATGTGACGTCCTGAGAGGACAGAACACGGCGCGAGGTGGGGTGGTAAAACTGCCAACCATGCGCGTCAGGGGGGAAGCCAAGGAAGACACAGGGAACGGCAAGGGATTACAGCTTGTCCGCAGACAGATAAGTGCCGACCAGAAAGCCAAGCGGGTTGCACACCTTGCATGCCTGACAATGAAGTCAGCTTCGCCCAAGAAAGGGTAGGGCCTTCTCTTGTCAACAGTTGTACCAAAAACGTGTTTCATCGCTTAATGGCCTATATATTACATTGTTGATACTGCATTATTTCTAAGTCGAAGAAGAAGAAGAAGAGGAGGAAGAATAAGAAGAAGAAGAAGAAGAAGAAGAAGAAGAAGAAGAAGAAGAAGAAGAAGAAGAAGAAGAAGAAGAAGAAGAAGAAGAAGAAGAAGAAGAAGAAGAAGAAGAAGAAGAAGAAGAAGAAGAAGACGAAGAAGAAGATGAAGATGTCAAACTTTTATGTTATGGTCTATCTAGGCTGTAATGGGGTAGACACTATAGGGTACAACACTTTTAGGTTTTCCTACTTGTACCCACCTGCTTGCTAGTTAATTCATTCCTCATTTCTTCACATGGTATAGAGCAGGTTCCCTAGTGGGAACGCTTCTCAGGGCCCACCACTGAAATCGGCTTTTTTTTTCCTGACCGGAGCGCGAGTCGCCCCTGCCCGAGGCGCGCCCCGTTGGCCGCCTTCACGTCGCCTCTCACGGCCCCTCGCGCCACCCTAAGCGGCCCCGTCGCCACCCCTTACGGCCCCGTCGCCTTCCTTTGCGGCCCCGTCGCTGCCCCTCTAGGCCCCTCGCGGCCCCTTCGCGGCCCCGTCGCCGCCCCTCTAGGCCCCTCGCGGCCCCTTCGCGGCCCCGTCGCTGCCCCTAGGGGCCCCGTCGCCGCCCTTCGAGGCCCCTCGCGGCCCCCTTTGCGGCCCCATCGCCGCCCCTAGCGGCCCCGTCACCGCCCCTCTAGCGGCCCCGTCGCCGCCCCTAGCGGCCCCGTCGCCGCCCTTCGCGGCCCCGTTGCCGCCCTTCGCGGCCCCGTCGCCGCCCCTAGCGGCCCAGTCGCCGCCCTTCGCGGCCCGGTCGCCGCCCATAGCGGCCCTGTCGCCGCCCTTTGCGGCCCCGTCGCCGCCTCTAGCGGCCCCGTCGCCGCCCTTCACGGCCCCTTCAGCTGCTAAGCAGCCGAACCGCCGAGCCGCCCAGCACCCGGGCCGCCCAGCAGCCGAGCCGCCCAGCAGCCGAGCCGCCCAGCAGCCGAACCGCCCAGCAGCCGAGCCACGGAGCCGAGCCACGGAGCCGCCAAGCCGCCATCGAGCCACTACTGTTTCCACCGGCGAGCACCGGCCCTACCCACCCGGACTGGTGAGAGCACTCCCTGCTAGACCACTGCTGTCATAGCTACCCCAAGTGTCCTTACCTTTGATACTGAGGGTCGTGCTGTTGACTTTGACGTCAGAGTCGATGACCTCCAGCTCTTCCTACAGTGCGATAGGGCAGACAGACTCTCCCTGTTCGATCTCACCTTTGGTGCCTCTCCTGCCCCGCCTGCCGATGCTGATAGCACCGTTCGCTCACAGTGGGCCACACGCGATGCTGCTGCCCGTCTTGCTGTGTGTCGCCACTTACCGACCGCTGAGCATGCGCAATTAAGTCAATACAAGAGTGCTAACACCTTGTACGACACTGTAGTTGCACGCTACTCTTCCCCTGCCACTGCTGCTCTTAGCCGCCTCATGGTGCCGTACCTGTTCCCTGACCTTGCTGCCTTTCCCACAGTCGCTGACCTCGTTACGCACCTTCGCATTAGTGAGACTCGCTACCGCGCTGCGCTTCCTACTGAGTTCTGTGCCAAGAACCCCCCCCCCCCCCCCCATGTACATCACCCTCTACTACATAGTCACCCGGCTCCCTGACTCCCTTCACTTAGTCAAGGACCACTTCCTCTCAGTTTGCCCCACCACACTCACCGTTGACCTCCTCGAGGAGCGCCTCCTAGCACCAAAGAAGAGCATAGTCGCTGTAGGAGCCTCTCGTGGTGACCCTCGTACCCCCGTCTTTGAGGGGTGCTCCCCCTCACCCCTCTTGCCCTCTGTTGCTTCTGCTGCTGCGGCCGACCTTGTTAGCTTCGAGTCAGTCGGCGCTGCGTCTGCCCCTAGCAGGAGACGCCGCACCGGCAAGGGCAAGGGGGGCAAGGGCGCTGGAGGGGCTGGCAGGGGCGGTGGAGGTGGCGGTGGAGGCGATGGAGGGGGTGGGGGTGGTGATGGGGGTGGTGGCCGGGGTGGAGGTGTCGGTGGCAGCAATGGAGGCGGAGGAGGCGGCGGCGGTGGCGGAGGGAGCGGAGGCGGTGGAGGTGGCGGAGGTGGCGGAGGCGGCGGTGGCAGCGGTGGAGCTGGTCGCGGCACTGCGCAGAGGAGTGGTTCCGGTGGTGGGCCGCGCCAGCAGCAGCAGCAGCAGCAGCGCAGTCGTGAGACCCCGTCCCCCCAGCAGCTTTGTGAGTGGTACGCGGGGCGTCAGCGAGGTGGGGGTAGTGGTCCCTGCACCTACGTCCTCCGTACCGGCGACCGCGCTGGTGAGCAGTGCGGGGGCCCGCACTCCACCCAGCGCTGCTTCGGCCGCCTGACGGACGCGTGGCGTCACCAGTTCCCTGACGCCACTGAGATCCCTCGCTGGGGAGAGCTGTCTAGGGCGGGGGTTGCTATCTTTGATCTTGATTATGATGCTATTCTTGCTGCCATGTATGCTGTTTCTACTAGTGATGAGGGTGACTGTTACCTGTGTGTTCCGCCTGACCCGGGCATTGAGGCTGCTGCTCTAGTTACTGGTGAGGCTGCTGCTCTAGGTGCTAGTGTGTCTACTGCCCCAGGTGCTAGTGAGTCTGCTCTCTTAGGTACCACGTCCGCTCACGCCTTACACACCTTCACCCTTGATTCGGGTGCTTCCCGCTCCTTCTTCCCCCAGAGGGGTCCTGTCCTTGCTAGCTTCTCCACTGTCTTACCGTGCCCGGCAGCCCCCTATGGCACCCTGTCAGGTCTCTACCTCCCCTCGTTCTCTACGAACTTGGTGAGTGGAGCTGATCTACAGGATAAGGGGGTTGACCAGTTCACTCCTGCGAGTCAGCGGGTGACCCATTGCACGTGTGCTCGGACGGGCCGACACTTGGCCACGTTCACCCGTCGGCCGGGGTCGAGCCTATACAAATTGACTACTGAGTCTCCTTCGGTTGCTAAGTCTAGTCAGGTAGCTGCGCCGAGTCAGGTGTTTGCTGCAGCGTCCAGGTCTGGTCCTGAGTCTGCTCCCTGCTCGTGTCGTCTCCTGTCCCACCAGACTCTCCTTTGGCACCGCCTTGGTCGCCCCTCCTTGCCTTGTCTCCGAGGCATGGCCTCACGTGTCCTTGTCTCTGGTCTCTCCCGGTCCCTACCTCCCCTACCTCCGGGGCCTGCCCCTACCTGCGTCCCCTGCGTCGAGGGGCAGCAGCGCGCCGCCCCTCACTCCCCCGAGTTTCCTCCGACAGACGTGTGGGGCCCCGCCCGCGTTGCAGACTCTTCACATGGACGTGTGGGGCCCCGCCCGCATCCGTGGCCAGGGTCACGAACGTTACTTCCTGTTGGTGGTTGACGACTACTCACGTTACACCATGGTCTTCCCCTTGTGCAGCAAGGGTGATGTCACTGAGGTGTTGATCGACTGGATCCGCGCAGCTCGTCTCCAGCTTAGAGAGAGTTTTGGCTCCGACTTTCCTATTCTGCGTCTGCACTCTGACAGAGGCGGGAGTTTTCCTCTGCCCGTTTGGGAGCCTTCTGTCGTGCACAGGGCATCCGCCAGACCTTCACGCTTCCAACCTCTCCACAGGAGAATGGGATTGCTGAGCGCCGTATTGGCATGGTCATGGACGTCGCTCGTACGGCCATGATCCATGCGGCTGCCCCCCATTTTCTGTGGCCATTTGCGGTTCAGTACGCAGCGCATCAGCTCAACCTTCAGCCCCGGGTCTTCTTGCCAGAGACCTCCCCCACCTTGCGGTGGACGGGGAAGGTTGGCGATGCGTCTGCGTCTCGGGTCTGGGGATCTCGGGCGTTTGTTCACGACTTGTTTGCGGACAAGCTGTCCCCCCGTGCTGTTCCCTGCGTCTTCCTTTGCTTCCCCCCTGACGCGCCTGGGTGGCGGTTTTACCACCCCACCTTGCGCCGTGTTTTGTCCTTCCAGGACGTCACCTTTGACGAGTCGGTGCCTTACTAACGTCTCTTCCCCTACCGCACTGCGCCCCTCCCCCCGCCGTCGCTCTTCCTTGCACCGCGTCCTCCCCCGGTAGACCCCCTCCCCCCTCAGGGTCCTGCCCCGTCAGGTGTGTCCCAGGTAGACGGAGTCGAGCGTGTCGAGGTAGCTGTTGACTCTGGTGCTGCTAGGGGTGCTGAGCCTGCGGGTGACGGGCCTGGAGGTGCTGAGCCTGGGGGTGCGGAGCCTGGGGGTGCAAAGTGTAGGGGTGCTGAGCCTAGGGGTTCTGAGTCTTGGGGTGGTGAGCCTGGGGGTGCTGAGTCTGGGGGTGCTGAGCCTGGGGGCGCTGAGCCTGGGGGTGCGGAGTCTGGGGGCGCTGGGTCTGCTCGTGTGGTCTCTCGCGGTGCTTCGTCGAGGCGGGAGCTACTCTCTCCGCAGGAGCTGCGCAAGTGATTTGCCCGGCGCTGGAGCCGTGCTGCTGGAGCTGGAGGTACTACTGTTGCTGCTGGTCGCGGAGGTGCTCGTACTGGCGGTATTGGAGCTGCTGGGACTGGAGGTGCTGCTGAGGCTGCTGGAGTTAGTCCTGCTGGAGGTACTGCTGGAGCTGCGGGTCCTGCTGGAGTTGGTGCTGCTGGAGGTGCTAGAGCTGGAGCTGCTATGGGTGATGGCGCTGGTGGTTCTGCTGGCGCTGGTGCGTCTGAAGGTGCTGGAGTTGGCACTGTTGGAGCTGGAGGTGCTGCTAGCGCTGGTGCTGCCGCTGGGGGTACTGGTGCTGTCCCTGCTAGTTCTGGAGGCACTACGCGGCCGGGGCCGTACTTCGTTCCGCTCCTTGAGCAAGTTCTTGGTCTCCCGCCCTCTACTGGTCCTGCTCCTCCCTTAGAGTGTCCACAGCCTGTCCAGTCGTGGTCACAGTTACACCCCGCCTCCCCCCTACCTGCTCCTTCTCCCTACACTGGTCCTACTAGAGGTCTTGCTGAGCGTCGTGAGCCTCCGTCTCGTCCTGCGTCACTTGTTCGTGCTGCTCGCACTAGTGGTCGTGCTTCGCGTCCGCGTCCTCCTGCGGTCCCAGGCACTCACCAAATGGCACTGCGTCCTTCCACTGCTCCTTTGCGTGTCCTATTGCCATCTTCTCCAGAGTCCTCTCTTAGTTTTCTTGCTGACCCACAGTCTGACTCTCTTCGTGCTGCCACTCCTACTATCACGCGTCTCCTTGCTACTGTTGTCACTGACCCTTCCTTTGAGTCCATTGCTGCGTTGGCCCTAGTTGCTGATCTTGTCGACTATGCTGCTCACTATCGTCTAGACTACGCTGCTAGTCTTGTTGCTCAGTCTGAGTCTGTCTGTCCTCCGTCCGTCGGGGGTGAGTTTGCTCTTAGCACGGACGTCCTTGAGGACAGGCAGGAGGAGTTCCAGTGTTTT